GGGCTCCCCAGTTCAAGAAAGACAAGGAACTACTGGAGAGAGTCCATCGGTGGGCTACAAAGATGATTAGAGGACTGGAGCATCTCTTCTACCTACAAGGAAAGGCTGAGAGATCTGGAGCTCTTTAGCCTGGAGAAGAGAAGACTGAGATGGGACCTTATCAACACTTACAAATATCTAAAGGGTGGGTGTCAAGAGGGATGGGGCCAGGCTCTTTTCAGTGTTTCCCAGTGACAGGACAAGGGGCAACAGGCACAAACTGGAGCACAGGAAGTTCCACCTGAACATGAGGAAAAACTTCGAGTATTGGAACAGGCTGCCCAGGGAGGTTGTGGAGTCTCCTTCTCTGCAGATATTCAAAACCTGCCTGGACATGGTCCTGGGCAGCTGGCTCTAGGCGAACCTAGAGCTTTGGCAGAGGGATTGGACTAAAGATCTCCAGAGATCCCTTCCAGCCCCTGCCATTCTGTGATTCTGTAACCAGCAAGTGAGTATCCATCCAGTCATTAAGATGGGATCTGTGCATGTACCTCAGGCCTTTTGGTAAGAGTGGATGCACTGATCACATGAGTTTTCAGTCATGAGATGGGGAACTGCCTGTGGTCTGTGACCTGTCTAGGACCGGCATCCTTGCTTTGACAGAAGGTATGGGCATCACAGCTCCCAATCACTCACTGTTTTATATACTTTATCATGCTCTTGTGTATTCATCTTTTCTCTAAGGTAAGGCATAAGGTATTTTTATGATCATTTTATATGAAAACTATGGTTTAGGCCTTTTATCATTAATTCTGCTCTATTTTGAACCTGTTTCCTGCATATTTTCTAGCTCCTGGGAAGGCTATCAGTCTCCACCCCTCCAGAACCCTTTCCAGATGCCTCTTGTTTTATGAAACCACATAGTTCACCTCTGTATTTCCTTACTTAAGTAAGGCATCTGGTTTTTTGACTATGGCTGTGTATTTGCCAATAACCTTCATTGATTTTTTTTCTCAAGTCCCTTGGGAATTGGTGCATGTGACTCAGTGTTGAAACAAGCTACTTGGGAGGCTTTGTGTTGTCCCATCTGGATTGTGTGTAGATACCTTTATTGTTCTTCCAGAAGTTATAATGTGGGTCCTCCATGATCAAGCAAACTTTCCCATATCTGCACTGCATACTCAAGAGCTTTTTTGCTTATCCCTGGTCCCTGGAACATCCTCTTCTGATGCTTAGATGACAGCTCTCAGCCTGATTCATTCAGCTTCTGTAAGAGTGCGCTCTCTTACACATTTATAGAGAACGTGTAAGTGAGCGCTGCTTGAGGCTCCCAGTACATAGTTCGCCATGCTTTTGACTGTTTAACCAGTTACTGCAGAAACATCCATCCTGAATTCGGGTCAGGTGAGAGCTGCACACAGATAGCTTTTATAGTACTCAGCAGTCACACATGTAAACAAGACAGATACGAAGAAACAGAAGAGTTATGCTTAATCTACTTGCACAGAGTTTGAATTGGAAATGCATGTTTGTGTCTCTATCTAGACAGACTTGTAAATGTATTCCTGACACTTTGAGGAAGACAGAATATTTGATGAGGTGTGCTTTACACTTCAAATTGTGTTTGTTCAAGCGAACTCTCCTCCTGGTGTAATGTGCTGTCTTTAATAAAAATCTGCCTTGCCCATTCCCCTGGATGTTTTTGGTATTGGAGGGAGTAGTTTGATGAGATGGGTAGAGCCAGACTAGACAATTGCTGCCACCAAAAGGAGGGATGTCCCAGGTAGCTTCTCATGCCCCTGAATTACCTAACACCATCCCTTCCTCTTGAATCAATCAGCATCTTCACTTCTCTGGTTAGTGATTGTACTTGCTAATCTGTCATGGGAGAAAAGAACCTGTAAAAGAGAGACAGTCTAGTTTTCTTCTAAGTGAGCTAATTTGATCAGCTTTACTAGTCACTTGGGCAAATGCCAAACTAAGCATGAACGTAGAGACATGCTGATGGATGAGGGAAAAATGGGAGAGTGCAGTTTTGCTGCAGTCAAGCTTATGTTATGGCTTATTGCTAATGAAAAATGTTGTTGCTCCCCTTTAGCCTCTCTCTCTGCCACTGCCTTGCACGTACTGGCTGCCGTGTACATAGTGGCAGTCCTTTGCCCAAGCTGTGAGCTGGTTCAGGCAGCAAAAGAGAAAACTTCATTTTGCAGCAGAATTTTTTTTTTTCAATCATTTAACTTGTTGAACCAGCTCACTACTAGGGCAGATAAGCAAAACAGAAGCAGCAGGCTAGGAGTAACGTGAAGGACAAACTCCTCTTTGGCAATGATTAGGTGTTGGCTCAACTCAGCAGCAAGGCCAGAGTGCTGTAAGCTTCATGGGCCTGCTCCTCCCTTGTGCTGCCACTGGTGTGACCTGGGGATAAGTGGTTCTTCCCCCCTGCCCCCAATCTGTTTTCAGTCACATTAGTGCCTGGGGAACTGGCCATGTTGGTCACCAGGTTGTTATTCCTAACGCAAAGGAGAGAGCTAAACAGAGTGATCTAAGGCAACGCTAGAACATCCCTTTGAGTCACGGGGCACCACTGGATCAGCTGCTGCCAGCCATAAAGATGCAGCCTCCTGTGTCTGATACCTGTCTCATGGCAAAGGGTTTCTTCCTCTTACCGGGCACATACTCTGTACAGTAGCGAATGTACCTGAAGTAACTGTCTCTTTCAGCTGCCTGTAATTGCTTCGTTACTGCCTCTTAGACTAGATACTGGTGTATTTAACCACTTCAGTGAGACTATGGTTGAAGGGTAATTCATCTGCAATATTTGTCTTCTAAGAACTATATAACATCCACTTTAACAGGATGAATGCGCTTGATTTTGTAATAACAACTTAGTGCATCCCTGTAGAATAGCAACCCTCTCTCTTTTTTTACTAGCTGTTCATTTGGGAGTGGATGAATGAGTTGCAAAGCAGCAATGTCAGTCCCTAATGTCACATTATTGTCCTTTTTCTTCACAGAATCCAACTTCTGTTGCAATCATGGAGACTACAGTTATTGTGCACATTCACCGTTTTAAAACCTGAGGTTTTTTTCAACAGTCTGGGGATTCCTTGTTATGAAGTCTTGTTCTTCTTTAGTAGGATGGTTTCTTTCTGTCAGATACTAAAATACAAATGTTCCAATATTGTTATGGTGTTATACTGCAGTTAAGTTTTTATTTACTAGAACGCTTGTGCATATGACTTGACACCTTAAAACGGTTTCAGTGGTGTATATCAGAGTTCACTGTAGGCTGCATTTTCTTTGTTTTGCTGGGCATCAAAGCAGATTTTCTCTACAGAACTTTGAGCAACTGGAGGGACTTAGGATTTTTCTTCAACATGAAATCTCTTGAGACGCACAAAACTTTGTATCTCAGCGAAAATCAAGGTTTAACGTGCAATTAGTTCACTCAGAGGCAGGATACTAAGTTGACTGGATTGCCTGGAAAGTTTGTGTTACAGCAGTATGAAAAGTGGAATTTAATTGGCTAATCTATCACTTTGCATGAAGAGACGAGGAAGTTTCCCTTAAACCAAAACGGCAATTAAGAGATGTGAGTTTTATGAATGTACTAGGCCTGGCTATGCTCTCTTATTACATTTAATGGGTTTAAAATGACCCTAGCCATCTCACTGCTTCCTCAATTAGTCTTTTCTTTTTTTAAACTTGCAGTAATTACAGCTCAGCTATGATCTACTTCCATTATTCTGCTTAGCTTTTAATATTGTAAAATAAGCTGATGTGCTCTTTTATTGACACAAACATTATATTATAGTTTCATGAATAGATTTATGCACAGTTTATTTGTTTATACTTAAAAGCAAAGATCCAACCTTTAGTTTTAGGAAAGAGGCAGAGAGTGTGCCAAATCTTATTTTAAGATATAAAAGTTTAATTTCACATATCAGTAAGGATTCTGATTTTTAAGCATAGCTATATATGATGCTTATAATAGTAAGTTTGGTTGATAGGTTGCGTTGTAGATTAACAAGCACATTTCTGATCTAGCCTAGCTGCTTTTTCTTTCTACTAACCCCTAAACCTATTGCAGAACAGTAAAAGGTGAATAAAAAGTAGTGGAGTCTTTCAGTCCCAACTGCAGGTTGAGTCAAGATTAAGGCTGTGGTATAGAGCAAATAAACTGAGGCAGTTCATGTTTGAGAGAAGCGCACCTCTATTGGTGAGTGTGGTATTCCTGAATTTTTATAGGGAAAATGCAATTTCATTCTTCACAAACCCACAAGTTAACATTTTAGCTAACTGTCTGTAGCTGTCCGTTGGTGGTGACAAGCTTCTGCAGAACAAGACTTCAGGAACGTTGTTTCTGAATTGACAGGGAAATTCCTGGTAGTGAAGTTTATTGTACTCATTCAAACAGCATCAGGTCTATTCTATAGGAAGTTCTGGGCTTTTAAGGAGGATGGAAAACTTTCCACTTTGAGGAAAAGTAACTTTTTTTGCAGAAAGGAAAAAAAAAAAAAGAGAATATTTTATATTTAAATAGTAATTTTAAAAAGCTATTAAAAATAAAATTGAGCTTGAAAGCTTAGTGCAGGTGTTTCTGACTCAGGTGTGACTTCTCATTCCAAGAAGTATGTAGAAGTGGGGGCTTGTGAGCTCTGTTGGCAAGAACCTGATGTGCTCAGCAGTGTTGGTTCGATGGCAGTCAGTGTGGTAGAAGCACCTTTGTAGCAAACATCTGAGCTTTCCAGCAGCCCCTTAGGAAAGCCAGTGAAATGCTAGCCATAGTTGTGTCAGTATTCTGTGTATATTTTGCTAGAAATTCCTCAAAACCAGTATGTTAACATGTCTGTGTGTTTCCACAGCAGCCTATTCATCTGGAGAATTCTTTGTAAGTTCTTTGTACATATTCAGCCCTTTTGATAGCTGTACCTCTTCTGCTCACTGCCGTTGCTCAAGGAAGAGCCTACAGCAACTGTCAGAAAGACCTTGCCCTCAGATGTTAAAAGGTTTTGTTTCAGGAGGTGAAGAATTTAAATTATGTGTTTGATCTTGCAGGAATTCTTCAATGGGTGAAGCTGATAGATAACTTTGAGGCTGAGTATGAATATATCACCAATGAAGGGACAGTGTTCACTTTCAAGACAAACCGTCATTCTCCAAATTACCGGTTAATCAACATTGACTTCAGTGACCCAGAGGAATCCAAATGGAAAGTTCTCGTCCCTGAACATGAGAGAGATGTTCTAGGTAAGAGTTCATGTCAAGTAAAAGGTTTTCTATTCTACTTTTTTCAAATTAATTCAATAATTGATCTATCTTGTACAGACTTTCTTGCTTTTATCCTGTGTTTAAACATTGTTTAGGATTTACGATTAAAAGACTTGCTGAGACTTGAGAGATCCAGAATCCACTTTCTCTCTCTCTCTCTATCTGACGTCCTGGGTGGCCATAGTGAAGTTGCTTCATCTATCCTTGTTTTCGTTCTGTGTTTGTAGGAAATGAGGGGAAAGTATTTTCCTGCTTCATGTCAGTGTAGTAAACATTTACTAGACAGTTGGGGATTATAGCAAGAGGGACTTCATAAGCAGAAAGAAGGGAAGAGCGAACCTGGCAGTAGTGGAGCACACTGTGAACAGAGTTGGTCAGAGTTTGAGACAGGATTTTCTGTTGTTCCTGGGATAAGAGGAGTAGACAACACTTGAAAAAAAATCCTCAGGAAAGTTGAAGGGCATGGTATTCTCTAAGTATAAAAGCGGGTTCACAACATAAATCTTTGGTTTTGATGTAATTAAAATAAAGGTGAATTATTTTAATCCCATCATTTTGAGGAAAGTTCTATTAAAACTTAGAATTAATTTCAGATAATTCAGAAAAACCTCCTCTGAGATGTTTGACAGATGCTTTGTGTATATTTATGTGTTCTGTTCTCCATACAGTACAAGATACAGTTATGGTTTATCTGACTAGCATAATTATAGTTATTCAAAGACTTTTTTTAATTGCTAATCCATCTTTATACAAATGCATTCATGTTTGCTACTTTTCTGGTGAAGAGCTGCTTTGTAGAATGAGTAGAATTCTGTGCGTGTGACTTGATCTGTGTATTTACAGTAACTTCTGTCTATTTGATCACTATTTCAAATTCCTCTTAACATCTTGCTTTTTAAAGAAACCTAAAAAAAAGTAATTTCTGTCTGCATTTCACAATGTGTCCTGCATGATTTTTGCCACAGCATAGACAAGGTATGTCCCCGTACCTTGTGTGACGTAAATGGTGACTCTGAGCACACCCAGAATTGTAGCAATGTTGCAAATAACTGGGGTCTAGAGTATTGCAAGAATTTTGCTAAACACAAAATTAGCTCTTAGGACTTGGTGAGATACAAACCTTTTTAAGATTGTGAACTCTTTGAATCAGGAACCACATGCATCTTAAATGAAGTACCTTTCAAGTCCTAAGCATAGAATAAATAATAGGTGTAAGTGAAAAATTGCTTCCAAGTCTAATTTCTGATTGTGTGCAAATTTGCTGGCAATCTGTGAAGCCATGCTTACGTTATGAGAAACAGCAGTTTATAAAGTGGGATCAAGTTGAAGAATTGGCTAAGAGATTGTGAGTGTCCAAGTAGAATGGGACAGAAACGTGTGATCGACATGAAATGTGGTTACCATGTGTGGATTTACCTGGGATGTGGTCTAGGCAGCCAAAGGAGCTTTGACCAGTGGCTATATAGGTGCTGGCTATAAATTCCTTCCCAGTAAGATAAAGGCCAGATCTGTTCTTCACTACACTGCAGTATTTAGCTCAACTCCACTTCGGTTTCGTTGTAAGGGCAAAGTCGTACTGAGTTCATGTTTGTGTGTGTGCAAAAAAAAATTTAATGGCTTATACAGGGCAGCCTTGACTACACAAACATAACAAGAACTGCATTTAGAAAACTGAAAGTTCAGATAAATGGGTTTGCTGAAGGCACTGGCCTTCAAACTGTAAACACAACAGGCATTCAGCTCTTAAACACTTGAAGGCAAACACAATCTGTCATATAAAACCATCAGAGTGACTTTCAGGAGCCTGTTGTGTGTTATTAAGCTTTTACTGTATTTGAATGTGACGCCAGAGTAGGCAATCATCTGTCCACTTCTGTCTCTAGCTTCTTGGAGCGGTATGCAAAGGAATTGGATTGAATTAACAAATTAAAGTGTCCCCATAAGATGATGAGTTAGATCTATATAATTAAGTAAGTTTGAATTGTTCAGTTGCTTCTTTGTGGCAGATACTTGCAAATTAGTTTTACACCCTCAGCACCAAAATAAGGGAGTTTTATCATGTTCAGGAGGTTGTAGCCCCAAATAAATTAAAAAAAAAACCCATTCCTTCACTTGCACACTCACATCAGCAAGCAAGCCAGTCTGTTATGTCATGTTGTTTTTAATCATTCCAAGATTTGGTTTTGAAAGACATAATTATAGCAGAAGGCAGTTAATAATTCATTGTCTTGAAAACCTTGCAGTCAAGTGAATTTGATTTTGTGTGATCCAGAGATGACAATGTAATGAAACACCTTCTGCAAAAGCTAGGGCGGCAGTGATTCAAAAGGTAAATGAGTATTGCTGCTTGTCCAATTTCATGTATGTGTAGGAGTGACTCTTTACCGAGATGTAATTAGCCATATTAGAATTTCTTTATAAACGTTTTAGTTAGTGATGCTGTAGATCACAAATGTGTTTTACTGGGCTGTACAGATACTGGGCTCAAAAGTCTCCTACTCTGGTGTGAGCTGCCTGCTAGCCATAGCCTTCTTCATTTCTATGTGGTAACTTAGATTCAGTTTCATAAAGCTGCACTATGCATATATAGAAACAGATTTCTTTATGAATCATAAATTCAGAATTAAGAATTATGAAGCTCTGCCAGTGTCCGTCAATGGCAAAAAGAGAAATTCCACAAAGTGTTATGATGCATTCTTAGGGAAGATGCTTTATCTAATATAATCTAACCAAGAAATAAACACACATGCCTACAAGGTGATGTGAATGTCATTTGGTTTCTTCAATGTGTTCTTCAAGATAGACTTCTTTTATTGGCTTTGACCTTTTTGTTTTCAGAACTGTTTATAAATGAGCTAATTTGGGAAATACAGGGGAAAAAACAAACATATTCCTGCAATGAGGTCGTACACACACCTCATTTTACAACTCTCAGCAGGGATTTCACACAGAGTTGGGGTAAATTTAGATCTCTACTCTGTGAGCTGAGGGGAAGAAATAAATGACAGCTATTTTAAAATTAAATTTAAGGGGGGCCTCAGAACATGTTGGAGTGTGATGAGACTCATTTCCTCCCTGTTGGAGTTTGTTTATAAAGTGTTACTTTTCATTTTCGGGGAGTCTAAAATAGAACTATAGGAGAGATTCACATCTGACGTTGAACTGGTACTTTAAATGACCACATAGCTGCATGTAGGTGTGCTGAATTAGTTAAAAGGCAGCTATGAAACCATAAATGCATGCTGATCATTACAGACACTGTAGTCCTACTTCTAAGGCACAGGATAAACCTGCTGTCTTCAGTAGCCTTGGTTGCCGTCACTTTAGTTGAGATCAGCATAGATACCTGTTAATCTGCAGGGACAGTGAAATTTATGGTCACTGTTTGTGATGACCAAAGAAGCCAAAATGATGCTCCAGGTCTATTTTCCAGCTAAAGATTTGACAGTCTATTGAAATATATTAATTATTTGTTGAGTGGATGCACAAGCACATTGTACAGTAACTCACTCAGCAGTTTCTGCTGGAGACTTATGGCTGCCTACCTCTTCTAGTTGGCCTTGTTCTCCTCCATCGACATTTTGGCCTGCATCTGTCAAAGCACGTTTGTACAGTTGGACGCTTAACATGCTGTAGCTACTGCTGCAGAAATGAAAGATCAGAACTGTCATAAGTAATTAAGATTAGTGGAACAGATGTTTGGTGTGAGGATTCAACTTTTTTTTTCATGAGAATTTCAAGAGTTGGTCATAGCAACATTGCAGGTGCTGAGTTAGTGGCATGCCTTTGCTACTAATGAAAGCTGTCAAAATAAAAGTTTTTGGAAAGTGGCAGTCTATGAATTTCTAAAAGGTTGAACTAGAACTTCTAGAGATGGTTGCACTCAGTTTTGTAGGCCTTGCTAAGAAATATAATTCCTGTAGCCCAAATTTAGCTATTGATGAATTGTGTGTATTGTAGTCATCAAGATGGTCACTGTAATCTTCAGAGAGGAATGGGAAGTACCAAGGATAATTCTTTACACCTGCTTTTAGTACCTATGAGTGCCTCTGAGTATGTCCATCTCTCTCTGACACCTGAGCCAAGAGCTCAGGTTGGGAAAGGCAATCCCTGTGTGTTTACTGATTGGTAAAATAAATCCTTTGCCTGATGGGTATTGTAAGTAGGTGGTATGTAAGTATGCTGGAGAACAATTGATAAATCTAGGTGTAACTTTAAGAATAGCTGCTTTGTTCATTGGTATTAACTGAAAATAAAATGACCCTATACATTGGAGAGGTCTTGGATGGTTAGCTTTTATTAAAAAAACCCTTGTGTGAGTGAAACTGCTCAGCAAGCAATTCATGGTATCCCAGAACAGGGTATCCAAAATAATTGGGTGAACTGCATTCTAAAGGTGCTTATTTCTGCCCATAGTCTATAAAGGGAGCCTACAGCAAAGGTGTCAGGCTTAGCTTTTAGCTGTGTGAAGTTTGCAAGCACACAATCTCAAAAGTTTCTAGGAGGTACAGCGACATGCAGGATGAGGTCTGCAAAGCATGAGCAAAACCAAAGAGGCTGACCGCTAACGCAACAAACGCAACAGGATCGCCGGTTCTCTGTGCTGAGCATGGGACTAACAGAGACTCAGCTTGTAGCCTGCAGTCAAAAAATAGCTCTTGTTAGTAATTCAGCTTTGTTTTAGCTTGCTACATATGCAAGTGTTGGTTCTTAGTGCATTTTTTTTTTTTTCCTTCTGCCCTTTCAGGTCTGCTTCAATGTTTTGCTCTGTTTTGATTTTTGCATTTCTTTGTAGCTTCCATTACTGTAGGCTTTGGAGGCAGTTAGCAATGCACCAAACCCAGTATTAATACAGATATTATACACAGAAGCTGTGTTCCTAAATCTCATGGAATGCCTTAAAAAAACATTTTGCATTGTCTTCTCATTTGTTATCTTCACCTTACTGAGAGCATCTAATTTGTAAACCCAAGGCATGATGGAGAGTTAATATTGCTGCAAGTTCTTCAATAGCAGGAATCCCCACGTAAGCCAGCAGCCTTACCCTGGGGCAATTGAATCTTTTTAATAGAGGAGTAATATCTCTTCATAGTATGCAAGTCAAAGTAATAATGTATTTTGACTTTTAATGAAAATGTCCATTAAACTGCAATGCTTCATCAAATGATTAGTGAGGAATAAAGAGTCATCACAATTTAATTTTAAAATAAAAATTGCTTAAGTAGTAATTTTGCTGAAGCAAAACTGCATATTGTATACATTTGAAGTTGAACTGAGAATGTCTGTAATCCATTTGGTGAAACTTTGTGTCAGGAAGTTTTGAGAGTAAAACTGGACATTTCGATTACAGATGTTGCTGAGAATACCGATGGAGTTCATAGGATCTCATACTTATTGCAGAACAGTTAATTCTGCAGGCAAAAATGTTGCATTACTGTAGGGATGCTTTTTTTTAATTCCTATTTTGTGTTAATAAAGCAGTTATATATGTGAACGTTGGCAGATCTGTGCAGTGACAGTGTAATAAATATTTTAAATTACTGCATATTTCCCTTGTTCATACAGCCAAGAATGACTCTATATTTCAAAATATGTGAATGGATATAACAATTAAACTTAATACAGTTTATTCTATTTTCCAGCTTCCCTTAAGAAATTTAAGATGCTCCAGAGCTAAAATTACACATCTATTACTGATTTATAAACAGTGTTATGTTGTGCTGTATCTTATTATTTCGGGTCATGACTTCATGGTTCAAATTTCAATTAGTGTTGTACTTTGGGGCTTTGGTTAGAAAATTCCCAGATTTAGGCTAGAAGCTTATAAGGGAGTTAGAAAGTCTGGGGGTAAAAAAATAGCAGTGGTGATCTTTGGAAAGAGGGGAGTAGTAAAGCTTTATTTGGTGTTTATGTAACATAAATTCATATGGCAAGAGGGTCAGACTAGTGTTAAATTTCACTGGTCCTTCAGGGACACTCTGAAAGGAAAGTAGACTCTATGGAGCTATTAGGATTTGAAGGTCTTCAAGCTCTAGGGGGTCATGACACACCTGAACTCTATATGAAAGCAGGGACTGTTAATTAATCTAATTGTTACAGAATAATGAGTTTTGACCTTTAATTCAGAAAGAACTTGTTACCCTTAATGGAAGGAGCACATGATAAAACTTTGAATTTTTGTTCCGGAACCTGAATGTACAAAGATTCATTTATAGGGCTGTCTTCAGTACGACTCTGTGAATTCAAATAGTTTGGTTTTATGGGACTTTGGGGAAACCGGAAAGAACAGTTATAATGTAAATAGCATAAAACAGTGTAAAACTGCAATTTTGCCTTGCTTCTGTTTTGTTTTCAATGTTTTTTCCTCCAATGTTGGTAGTTTAAACTCCCTATCTCACAGTGCTACTTTGATATTACAGCGTGCCGCGGTCAGTCTTACCTGATGTTTCTTGGTCATTTGGTTCCATCTTTTCATTTTTTGCTCTCAGCAGATAAGAGAAGGCATTTTCCAATGCTGGTACCTTGCCCATGATTTAGGTTTCCAGTCTGACTTGTCTGGGGAGAAGTTGCACATACATAGTTGGAAGAGGACAAGAATCACCACCTCATCTAGTCCTGCAAACAAAAAATGTCCCTCATTCCCTGCTTCCAGATATTTTTTCCTTGACTTTTAACCATGTTTGTATTTTGTCCTGTTTGTATTTGATTTGGGAAATAATGAGAAGTTGAAATACTTTTGTTGCAAAGTAGGGTAACCTGTTTCTTAAATGACAGAAACACTGAGAGAGATGAAGAAGTTTCAATCTTTTTCCTGTCTGCATGAGTAAATAAATAGATTTGTCACTAAAGATCTAAAGCCGATGGCACAGGAGACAGGACAGTATATGTTACATGATATATTCTGAGTGAACTGGAGCCCTGAAGAGTTTCTATGCTTCACTGGATATAAAGATGGGGATTGAAGTGAGATGGTCAGAACTGCAGGGATTTTTGTAGAGATTGCTAGCCCAGACCTTTTTTTTTTTTTTTTTTTAAATCAGTTTGGATTTTCCAAAGTCCAATTAAAAAAAATTAACATTCCATGAAGAAGTTCACATATCCCTGGTAATTCTTCTGAGGGACAAACTCAGAATGTGAAAGGTTCTGTGAAGCAGAAGCTCTGGTTCCTGCACAGCTGCGCAGCTGAGGTGGGCAGCTCTGCAGGGACCCAGGACTGCCAGGAAAGGCATAAAGGAAATGAACCTCTGCAGAGCGCTTTGTTCCTGGGTCCTTTTGCCAGTTTGAGTTCACTGTGCCGTGTCCTGTTCCTACTACCTTACAGTCTCAAGAATGGTGTTTAACGACATTAGCTTCTTGAATAAACGTGGGGTTTTTTTAAAATGACGTGTTGAGGATATCGCCTCAGAATAGCCCTTTTACACCCAGTAGAGCTTGTTTATGACAATAGCCTCCTGAATACTTAGGCAGTAAAACCAAGATGAATAGTAACCTCTATGTTATATGCTTTAATGTGCGGTATAGGATCACATGTCTTTCTGTTCTTAATAATTTAGCTTGAGTCTAAATCATAATGATTGTTTTGATTTTCATGCATTTCCATAAGTATTGCTGGAAAAGATCAATGTTTTGCTTGGGTTTTGCATTGAAATATGTGATGTTTAAGAGCAGTATTGATCTATAAGCACCCCAAATGCATAAGCATCTTGGTTAAGCAATTCTTTATTCTTGTATTTGTATAAATTAGCTTTGAGCAGCATGGTTAGTGCATTTCCAAAGAATGTCAGCCTTTACTTTTGGGTTCACTTTTTTATTTCATAAGGCAGGTGACGTCTAAAGATTTAAGAGTTAAATTCAATGCATGTCAGAAATTTTGGTGCATGCATTTAGATATGCCAAGGAATTTTAGAATCAGATTCTGTCTGATTGTTTTCTTTCTTACAGTTTTTTTAACTGTGTTTTCTGCGGCTTTGTTTTTCTTATCCACACTCTGCAGAATGGGTTGCTTGTGTGAGGTCCAACTTTCTAGTTTTGTGCTATCTGCATGACGTGAAGAATATCCTGCAACTTCATGACCTAGCTACTGGTGCACATCTCAAGACTTTCCCCCTAGAGGTTGGCAGTATTGTGGGATATAGTGGCCAAAAGAAGGACACGGAAATATTCTACCAGTTTACTTCCTTTTTATCTCCAGGTAAGATTGGTTTTTTCCCTTAGTTATTGTTACTTTTCCTGGGAACAATATCTATCTTGTTTTCTGTTGTTTAGTAGTTACTAGGTATGTCTAAGCCCCAAATAAAACTGCTTCCCCCCGTGTAGTAAGCAGCAGTTGTGCACGTCAAAATGTACCAGTCCTTGATCTGTGAAACCTAAAAAATTTGCCTATTAATATTTGAGAGACCTGCATACAGAAATTACACAAGACCAGCTTGTACTGGAGATGAAATCGTAGCATTCTCACAGCTCTTGCTTCATACAGCAAGGTACAAGTTTACAAATTCTGTTGCAGACAATTGTAAATGTATTTAATGTGATTTTCATCACACTTTTGAAGAACATTAATAAAAGTCACCAAAACTTTTTCTGACAGCTTTTTGATTCATTTCTGCATAGCCTCATTACAGCATCCTTACTGTCTGTCCTTACAACACTTGGGGTTGTTGGATTGCTGTAGGACTCCTCTCTGTACAAGCCTGCAAAACCAGAGCTGTCCAAAGCGTTATGTAATACGTGTGTGGCACACCAATAAGTATTCCAGGATTTTGACTAGAAAGGGAGTTTCTATGCAATTGTCAAGCTAGTCTGTGACGAAACAATGTATTTGCCCTTCTCTCTTATTTTTTTCTTTTTTTTTTTTTTTTTCTTTTTATTTCTTTCTTTCTGGCCCAAACAATCAATAGCTGGTACAAGACAGGATTCAAATATGGAGCGGGGAGATAGGCTCCAGAATCTTTTATCTTCTTCCGGGGTTGTGAGTGATCATGAATCATAAGATGATCAAAAATGTTCTTACAGCACCTGACGTATATTTTTGCTCTGTTTCAGTTAGAGCACAGCCACATTACAAAATGCCTCTATAATAGTTTTGATGGGTTTGCTGGTTTTGCTAGAAAGGATTGTGTTAAATTATCAAAATTATGTTTCAAGCTTAGCTGATAAGTGTGATGAATTTCCTATTACGATCTTACTGTTTACATAACCAGAAATAAGATACATTATGTTTCCAGTTCCTCTCTTAAGCCAACTTTTAAACAACATTCAGATCATTGCAGTCATTGCAACTGGAGAGGAGCCTGAGGACACTCTTGCGTTTACCTCTAACTTCATCCCAACCTGATGCTTTGGATAGTTGACTTTCTCCCATCCCACCTCGTGGGCCAGAAGTTGCCAGTCTTACAAGCCTGCACTGTTCATCTCAGCTGGGCCAGTAGTCTCTGCAGCTGCTAAACATGTGGAGAAGAGCCCAGAGATCTGTTTTAGCCTGTGCCTTGCCAGACACTGAGCAATGGCTGGTCTCGCTGCCTGCTTTTGCTTAGGCAGATTTTTTTTTTCTCGCTCTTCATCCATGTGCTTAGCATGTACAGACAGTTCGGCATGGCATAGCTCTGTTAACTGGGGCAGAGCAACCTGGAATGTAGAAGAAAGAGGAAGGGAAGAAAGAGAGGTAGACCATATGAGAATAATAAAGAGTGAGGAAAGCAGACCTGAGAGGTAATTTTTAGGTCGTGGTGTGGATATTTCTTAATTTGCATGCAACCTCCATTTGCCCCATAAGTGGAATAACCTGGCAAAAGGTATGGGGCTGGTCCTTGATTAATGTAGATCTTTCTGCTTTACTATTAGAAATTAATACAATTTGCGCTTGTATTAAGCGGCATTATTTTTTTTCTAATGAGAAACATAATAGCATACTGGTGTTTAATTCTTACAGCAAAAGTAATAGTAAACATCTATATGAAACAATGAGTAAAGTAGTTCTGAAACGATAGGTGCTGACACCGTAAAAATAATTTTTGCTATTCCCTGAAAAATATGGTTGTCCCTGCTGTTCACTCCAGTAAGACGCTTAGGTGAGCACTCTAGTGTTTTGCGTTTGTTTAGCACCCAGCAAAAGAGTGCAGGCCCCAACGTTACTGTGGTTTTGGATATTAACTGCCATGCCACTAAAAATGTAACAGACTAAGAGATGCAGTACCAGGAGTTCAATTGCATGTTACTGTAATATTAGGTTGATCGATTTCTGAAATGCACTCTGTGACTGGGCTTATGCATCATCATGCGTTTCCCTAACATGCAGCTATTCTGCCTGCTCTGTGTGTCATGTTTACCAGTACATTATCCAACTTGGGCAGCTGTATATATGTCAAATGAGTGCTCTGCCTGTTACCACCCGGTGTCCTTTCCTTTGTGCTTTCGCATCATTTTCTGGACCCTAATCTTTAAGGGAAATGCTTAATGTAATTGTACATGTCACCCTGCATTAGGCTTGCTAGTCACTTTGTGACAAATGAAGAAAAAAAAATCCCAGCATGTTAGAGTAGCCCTACTTTTATTCCCCTATTAATTCACCATTACAGAAAGAGGATTTATCTTAGAAACGTTATTAGAAATGTTGGTTTTCATCGGTGTTCTTTTGCCAGTCTGTATCTTTCTGATTTTCCACGGTCTATAAAAGTGATTTAATGAGACAATTTCCTTGCATCAGATATGTTTCCTCATTATTTCATGTTTCAACATAATTTTTATAGCTGTTACCTCTGTAATAATTACTTCTGGTTTCCTGAAAGTATCTAAAATACACACAATACAGCAGTATTTCAGTCAAGTCCTGTCCACCTTGGTTAATTTTATTACATTGAGGATCCCTTTAGAGGGCTTGTTGCCTTAACTTTAGTGTTCTTTTCCCTAATATGAGTTTAAAATTTTACGGAGACCAGCTTGTTGTAAAGCAGAAAAACAAAGACTAGTTAACATTGAGGTTAGTTTTATGTATCATATATATCTGTAGTATATCCATGAATATTAGGATTTTGTAGTGTATTAACCAGCGTGCAAACACAACAATAGTCACACTATATGGCACATGCTCAAATATTAGGGTTAAACGACAGGAAATATGACTTACAGTCTAAATGCAAAATTCTTCTTGGCTAATTACACATCTGTGTAGCGTCTAAATTGTTACGGTCTCTGTGATTTTGTCTCTGCTGCAACCTAGAAGTTTCATACAGCTTATAGACATAAATTTTCTCATGTGCGCAATCCTTTGGAAATCATAGGTGCAACTCAAGCAAGTGAAGTTGCCTTCAAACCTGCAGGATCAGGATATAAAATAAATTACACGAGACCAAATTCTGTTCAGTTACTTAGGTAACCTGTGCTGCTCTGCCACAATTTCAAGTGAATGGTCAGCTCTTTCCGTTTTCTGGGGGTCTGTTTGAATTGTAATTTCAAAATATTTTATTGTAAAGAGAAAAATGTTGATCTGAGTTAAATTCTTGATATATTTATTCTCAGTCTGGTGGCTCTAGAGGAGATGTTTTAAAATTGACTTTATACTTCTTTCTTCCAACATGATCATTCTCGGTAAAGTGCTATGTAACTTTATGAAAACAAATCTTTTTTCCATTTTGCTTAACCCACTTTGGATACCTGGCTTTGTAGGGGCAGTGAGAATTTTTCTTTCTGTACAGAAAGCCTTTGCATTTTTCCTAGATGAAGTGCATATATGTATGAGTTAAATTATATATTAACTGAAAGAATGTGTCTAGAGCTCCTGTTTTTCACCCTGATGAGTTGCCTTTGCCATTCATTACTCCATCACAGTGCCTAAACCAGCATCCTTTTAATGATGGACGTACACTAAGCTGACAAATTTGCACTCTCTTTAGGTATTATATATCACTGTGATCTGACCAAAGAGGAACTGGAGCCAAGAATTTTCCGGGAGGTGACTGTGAAAGGATTTGATCCTTCGGTTTACCAGACAATTCAGGTAATGAACATAAATCCTGCTGTCTTGCTGTGATCACTTATGCAAGAGTTTTAAGAAAATTGCGCTTGGCTGAGGGTGAGAGTGCTTTGATTAGTTCCTGGGTTGCAGGTCTGTGTGTGCTCTGAAGGAATTCTGCCAAGTCTTGTTAGAGAGATTGGAAGATGCCACTGCAAAGCAACCAGGGCAGACTCAATCCTCAGTCATCTCACATTATTAGGCAATATGTTCTCTAATTTTGTCCCATGTTACGGTATTCTTTGATACTTGTTTTAACATCAGGCTGCTGCTTTTCCATGTTTATGTATTTCTTCTACCAGGGCAACTCAGCATGGCTCCCGTAGGCAAGTGTATGGTAGGGCAAAGCTTAAGAGGCAGTGGAGAACTATAGGAAACTTGGAATAGCCAGTCATCTTCCCAGCATTTCCACAATATTCTGGGGTCCACCATGGGAAGTGGCAACAATAGATAAAACAATTCTGTCCCCACCAGTCTTGTATATAAATAGTGATGATTTTTGCCCCAAGTTCCTACTGTGGATCTCTATTAAGACTTCAAAAAGAGATTGGGAGGAAAGAAGAAAGTGCACTGATTCATTTGTAGCTGGCATCAAATATGAAATCTGCCATAGAACTATGAAAGTCATAACTATGATTATTTGGAAGGAAAGCAGGAAAATATCTAGTGATGTGAACAGAAAAATCATGTTCATTCATGCTGTGTGTAAGAATTTCCCATTCTGTCCACCTTTCCAAGAAGTGCCATAGTGTGTTGCGTTCACTAATGCATCAGTGCAGTTACACTTGGGGCAACTCACTTTGATTTTCCTAAGCACAGGATTAGATCCTTTGCTTGCAGTGCTGGAACAACTAGGACAAGGAGCAAAAGATAAAAGCAATTTAGAATACGTACAATTACCATTTCTAATATAAAACTGCATGAAGCAATTATTGTGCAGGTCTAACAGCTTTTAGTATTAGATGTTTAAACAATTTGGGACAGGGTCCCTTCCGTTCTGTGTGTACACTGCCTAGTACCATAGGATTTGGGTCCATGGGATATTGTTTCAGTACTTAATAAACAGTAGGTTAGCACTTCGTTAGTACTCTGTTTCCCAAGGTTTTAATGTTTCATTGAGACTCCGTGAATAAAAAATTAAAAGACATGGTGTCATGAAAAACAGGTGTTGTCAAATATGCCTGCTGCCTCTTGGAAGGGCAAGATTGCATGGATGATTTATAAAGCCATCAAAGGCTCAAATTTCATAAGAAGCATTTTGCCTCGATAAAACAAAGGCCCCTGTATTTAAAAGTTTTCACGAGTGGAGTTAAAATTACAGGCATGGATAATCTACAAACAGGTTCTGTGAGACATGAACATGGAGGGAAATGAGTGAGGTCTTTCCTAGCAAGGTCTAATGCCATTCAGTAAATTCTTCAAGAGCCTAGAGAATAAAACCTTTGCTGATAAAATATTTGGTGTCGTCAAAGACTGGCAGATAACAAAGTGGGAAGGACAGCAGGTTACTGATTTATAACAACATGAACTGCTCGTTAAATGGTCCCGTTATGACAATCTGGATTTCAGTATAGCCAAATGTGGGTCAGACATCTGAGAACCAGGGAGGGGTTTATCCCACTTCAAAATGCGAAATCAGGTAAGTTGTGTCAGCTCTCCCAGAACTCGCTTTGCAATCCCTGGAAGGTCGTAAGCTGCATCTACAGTAACAAGCGTTGTGGCATTATAATCACAGGAGTGAAATGGCTTGTGCTGAGGATCCAGTGTGTGTTTTAAGAGTTTTACTTTGAACTAGCTGTAGTCCTGTCCTGTGAACTGAATTTCCGTTATCGGTTGAAGTACTTCTAGTGCACTCCTGGAGTGAATCTGCTACTTGAGTTTCATCCAGGAGGAGTCCAGTCCACTGAAACCTCTCTGCTGTGGGAAGTGAGAGTGGTGAGGAGACTTGCTTTGGAACCACGCTTTTGTTTTGAACTGCAATGCTATTGTAGGTGCACCAAAGGCTCAGACGGGCATCTCAGTTTAGTAGCATGGAGACTCCTTTGGGAGGTGCCTGTTCCTCACACCTAAGTGAAGCCATATAAGAATTAGCTAAGTTTAAGGCTTATAAAGCTAAAAGAAATTACTCCTGTGGAAAATAATGTAAGTTACAGATGACATGGAACAGGTTCAGGAAAGCACAGGGCTCTTCATAGACAACTGCTTTGACTTCATAACAAGTATTGTGACTAAAAAGATTATACAAAATACACATTTTAAGTAGCAAGTGTCTTTCCACTAAACATAGCTTTGGTAAGCCCCTGATGAAATCTTATGCCTTGGTCAGGACTGTAAGAAAGATACTGAACTTCTAGAGAGAGTTCATAGAAATTTGTTGAAATCATAGAATCATTTAGGTTGGAAAAGACCTTTAAGATCATAGAGTCCAACCACAAACCTAGCACTGCCAAGTCCACCACTAAACCATGTCCCTACGTGCCACATCTGTGCATCTTTTAAAATACCTACAGGGATGGTGACTCAACAAAAATAATTAGGGGTCTCGAGAAATGGTTATTATATTGTGGTGCTTAGCATATTTAATACCTGCAATTTATAGAAGAAATATTGGAGGGTGGATTAATTATTTTATATGTAGGATTTTCGATCTGTAGAGTAAGAGTGAAATAGAAGATTTTTCTTTCTGTAGACAATGGTATAACAAGATCCACTGCCTGAAGTGGAACTTAAATAAGCTTAGCCTGCAAAAGGGTGAAATGACCTAGGAGATAAAGTTAAGCAACAGTGTGACAGCATGGCTTGGAGTCTTTGAAAGATTAGATACTTTTTCTTAATCTTTTATTTTTCATTTTGCCTCTGGCACATACACAGGGCAGATTCTCTAAAAGCGTAAAGACAGGAGTGTATGTGCATGAGGTGGTTGTAAACAACCCCATCTGTTTGTCTCTGCATCTCCAAACAGAAATAAGAATGTTGTAGAGGACAGTTTGCTGGAAATTATCTCGCAGAGAATGTGTTTTTCCAGCTTCACTCAAATTCGTTAAGGGACTTCCGCAGGATAACTTCAGGGCATAGTGCACTGAAAAAGAGAAAGAAAACAGAATTCTCTTTAGGAAAAAACTTGGTACAATTATAATACTGCCGTCAAACTCAGAGATAATAATGGAACACATATATCCATGTAATTAAAAAGGGTTTAGAAGGGGTTGCCATAAATTAGAAATAATGTATTTTTCTAGTAAATCAAATTTTATGAAATAAATGTCTGGAAAAACAGAATCTCATTTTACATTTAAATCAATTACGTGCTAAATTGAGTTAAAATAGAACCGTAATACAAATAATTTCAAGGAGGAAGCATGCTGTTGCTATGCCCTTGGAAGCCTTCACTTTGTAAGTCACTGGCAGAGCTTCACCACTAGGCTGTAATGGGGTGGAAGTCAATACTGCTGTTTCTGTATTTCTCCTTACTCACTCCTGCTCAGTACCAGCTCTAGGGAGATGTGACCTGTGTAGTTACACTGGGATTAGTGCTTACAAAGAGCACTGTTGGCTCACTACTCATCCAGTTTTGCCTTTTATCAACAAATTATCTCAGTGTGGCAGTGCCTTGGAAATTAGTTTCCCATACAATTCAGATCCATGGAGAAATCTCAGCTGAGCTGAGAGAGAGGCTGTTTGTCACGGCCAGGGCTGGGACTGCCTGGTTACCTTTGTAGTAGCTCAGCCTGCCAGTGCTACACACCTCTGCCAGACTCTGGTCCTCATTTCCATTTGTGGGGTCCCACTTGGACCCTTGATGATGCTTCTGCTTGGAGGAGGGAAAAGGAGATGGCAGCTTATCAAAGCAGTTTATAAATGGCTGTCAACCTAGCTTTGTGTAGCCGTTCCAAAACTCAGGTAACATTGCAGGGAATTGTGAAAGGAACTCAAAATTAAGAATGCAAAAATTATACTGAGAATAGTAACAAAGATTGCTTATTACAGGAGAATCAACACTGCCGAATTTATTTCATAATTTTAATTTCTGTCAGAATTACTAAGTAGTAAAGAAAAATTTTTGTGGCTCTGTCCTGATCCATGTCCTTAATGAAAGGCAGATCTCCTGCCAAGGTTCTTTCTTTATTCTCCTGTACTTGAAGAGAAATACCTACTAAGACTAGCGATCTTCCTAGCTTTGTCTGTGTAGCCTATATGAAACTTTAATGAGTTGTTCCTTAGCAGTCTTTGAACATAACCGAGTTAAGGAGATTTGAGCTGAAGTGTAAGGTGTCATGTGTATATGAAACCTGAATTAATGGCGATTGGAAAATGCCACAGTGCCCGTTTCTTGCTCATTTGGATCCACTTTTACAGTATTTCATAGATGCTGTGCAGTGCAAGCATGGACCAGTGATAAAGTTTACTACACTATGTATATTTATGGTAGAGCAGCTGCTTTGTGGTACCTGAGGTTATGTTCTTACCCTCTGGCAGCTCAAAGAACAAATTAGCTAACTTACCGTGCACTGAAGGGGGAGCTGTTTCAATGCACCTGACATTTACACCAGGGTAGGAGCGTGCCTGTAGGTTGTTGGCTCTGTGTGACACCCTGCAAGTACATAGTCTTAACTTACTGTGCAGTCTCTAAAGTCTCTGTGACCTTCATGAAAAAGTCAGACTGTTTAAAATGCTTGCCATACATCAAAAATTTATCCCGGCTGATTTTGTTATTTTAAGTGGCATTAATAACTTTTCCTCTACTAAACGCTTCTTAAAATTTGTCTTTGCTTCCTGCACGCTTCCATCCATCACAATGGCAGGCTTTTTCAGGAAATAGCCTGGGGTGGGTTTTACAGGAGGAAAAAGCCACTTTCTCAGCGACTTAAAAATGACACTTGCCATAAGCTGTTTATTGCATAACTAACTCAACTGCTGCTTTAAATAAAAAGCCTTTGTTTTATCTTTACAAAGTTGCCAAATAAGTTCTTATATATGCCTCTCCA